TTAGAAACTCACTATCATACATCTTACATTTGTCAACTGACCGACCTATGGAGGGAATAACCACCTATATCATGGCCATAAAGTACTTTTGTTTAAAGCAGCAATGTGTTTATATGGGAAACCTAAACAGTTTGAACCAGATGAAGATGCAATTGATGCCATACAAGTAATTTGTTTTTTTCTTGCTGTTTTTCTCTATTGTTATTCTAAACATTTAGGATGCTGCAACTAACCACAAAGCTAAACACTATAATTATAAAGCACTACTCCAAAGTTAGAAGATGACAGACTTACTGTTGTCTGTGCAAACACAGTTCAGCTCATGGTGCATTTATATTATGATACTCCATTCTGTTACCTTGGTTTTCTACAGGACATTTTCTTATGCAGTGCAAGATTTGAGCAGTAATGAATTACTGATGTGTAACAAAGAAGCCATCATCTTTAAGACTCCTACTTCGTTTGTTACAGCAACTGGAGCCTATTTACAGAAGTTAAGGCACAAAAGTAAGAAAAGAGAATAGTATCAAGATCACTATGACAAAAAGCTAGAGAAATAAAACTGTAATTGCTACAGAAATCGCTTTATGCTGGGGAAGTCACATTAGTAAAGTTTATAATAAGAGGTCAGTCCTTTGGTCTTTATTCTCCAAGTGTTCCACACAAGTCACATAGCTCTATAATGCTGTGTATTCAGGAAGAAGACCCATCAAAACACATCATAGACAGGGACTGTATCAGGCAACTAGAGTACGCTGAACAAGATGAACACCCAAATAAGAAAGTGCTTCACTTTTCTCCAATTCTCAAACATTAAAAATGGAAATCAAATACCAATTCACTTCACAGAGTGAGGAAATAAATTCTTATTTGTGAATCACTTGGAGGTAATAAGGAATACTAGAGAAAAGTCAATGAAGAAATTAACAATTCTATCATCAGAAAAGGGTTTGAGTAATACAAGAAAGGCAGAATACATGTCAAAACTGTCAAGTCAAGTGAGGCTAAAATACTGCAGATTCATTCAGTATCATCAGGTTGCCTCTTCCCTCTCTTCAACAGCTTAAACATTAGGCATTATTATGCCTAAGATATTAAGAGCATCCACAGTGAACAATTAAAAAAAGTACCAAGAAAACTCCACTTGAGATAATTCATTCTTTGACATGAAGATAGAGGGAGGCTAGACAACTAGATTACAGGCCTAGCTTTTATATTGGGGGTGGTGGGATCCGCCCCACCATCTCTGCAGAACTCTGGCTGTGGTTGAAGACCCACATACAGGACTGCAAATCACTAAGTATTGTAATTCACAACACATCATCGTAAGTCATAAAAATACACTTCAAAAAATATTAACAGAAATGTAATTATAACTAGATAATCTTTCCGTTCTAAGACACTTAAAATTTTCATTCTCTGCAATAAATACCGAGCAAATAAATTTATTCTCTACTCAGAGTAATCCCAACAGAATCCTCTACATTAACTTCTATTAGCACTGAACTATCAGACCTTGCCAACACCTGTTTTACTATGAAGAGAAGTTTTTCATTTGCAGCAGAAAGTGCAGCTGGGAGCTTATTGGAAGTTTCTCAAAAGCCTATTTGCAACAGGGAAATGCAAATACATGCTATAAGGACTATGTATATCTGTCCTCATTGGTAAGCACAGCTCTGACCGATATGGCCTCTGCTACCTTTGACTGCTTTGCATTCAGCAAGCTAAGAGAAGGTGATAAAGCCTGAAAAAAAAGGGAGAAGAGAGTGAAGAAGGAACTTCTATAATTAGAACTCTAATTAGAGTTATTTTCTTCATTGAAAACTGTTGCACAGCAATCACACATATTATGCTGGTTGTAGGTGAAAGAGATGAAGACTTCACCCCCCCCTTCCCAGTTCACTCCCAGCAGTGGGTACCAGACTTCTATGTCAAGATTTTTACCTGCTCAGATAAAAAAATTTCCAAAGTAACTGTTAGCCTGGGATACTCAAAACATTCCCATCCAGAAAAAGATAACTTAGTGACTCTAGATCATACTAACTTAGAAAGTAAATAAACTGTCAGCTTATGCATCTGAGGAGATATGGATTGTGAGCAGATGGAGGTCAGTCAGAGCCGGAAACCACTTAAAAGCAGCTCAGCTGTGATGGAAATGGAAAAAAAGTGTATGTGGAGAGAGAATTAACAGACCCTATCTTTAAATACCAAAACAACATCTTAGAGGATGATGAAGTACCAATTGACAAGTGTTTTAGAATGATAGCCTCAAAAATTTGATATTAAATCAGAATGGTGAGGTTCCTTACATGTGTTATATCAATAGGTTTCCTTAATAAGTTTATATTAAATAGCGGAATTGAGTTGTTACTATGTTTGCATAAAAGAAGGTACATCCATAACTTTCCTGACAGTGGTCTTGATTGTTTTTTTAACCTGTACTTCCCACAAGTCAAAAAAAATCCAATATTAACACATCACAGACATGCACCTTTTCTATTGTTTTAATCAGGCTCCTTTCTACTTTCTCCTTTGTCATACACACAGGATAAAATATGTATTTTGATTTCAGAAGCAATAAACATGTTTCTAGCTTCAGTGAATTTTAGAAATGAATATATCTGTGTAACACTCATCCTGCTGGATTCAGAAAGAATTTAAAATTTAGCATAAGACCTTCCCATGTGAGGTCAAATCAGTGAGCTCCTAACACTAACACATCTCAGGCACTGATTAGCAACACAAGTTTCAAAATCTAAATATAGTTTCACTCCAATTATATATAAAGATGACCTTAAGGAAGTTTTATACTAACCCAGAATAGGTTAGCTAATTTCTCTCTCAACTGTAAATATTTATAATATACATGAATAACTAAAAACTACTTCTGAATCTTAACAAGTTCCTCCTTAATAATCTCAGTGGTACAAATCCCAATTATTAGATAAATCTTACCACTTTTTACATTTATTGTCATGGGTTTTATTCTTTGTTCTTTTGCTACAGCACATCAAAAAGTACATGCTTAGTACTACTGATCTTCATCCCTTTCATCATCCTTTTGTACAACCCTAAATTTCCTAGATGTCTCAAGAGTTTTAAAATATGAAAACTGTTTGGGTTTGTTTTTTGGGTTTGTTTTTTTTTTTTTTTTAATGAGCGTCTTTCAGGACATTTACTCATTTCTGCAACAATTATTTTAAGGAGAAATAAAATATACAACTATGAATGGTTATCTTGCAAATTAATATGTAAGGTGGTCAAATCACAGCTTTGGTACCATTCTGTGCCTCCAAGTATGGTCCAGCATTACAAGACTTCCATTTAGTCTCTGTAGTGTGGTTCCTCTTCCCTATACAGTTGCAGCAGGCATAAGAAGAACATCTAGCAGAAGCAACACCAAAGCTATAAACACTGTTACTTTCACTGCCTTTGATACTTTGATGGCCTTTAGGCTGGGCCCAAAGAGTTGTGGTGAACGGAGTTAAATCCAGTTGGTGGCCGGTCATGAGTGGTGTCCCCCAGGGCTGGGTTTTGGGGCCACTCCTGTTTAACATCTTTATTGATGATCTAGACGAGGGCATCGAGTGCACCCTCAGTCAGTTTGCAGCTGACACCCAGTTGGGTGGGAGTGTTGATCTGCTCGAGGGTAGGGAGGCTCTGCAGAGAGACCTGGACAGGCTGGAGCCATGGGCTGAGCCCAACTGGGGGAGTTTCCATAAGGCCAAATGCCGGGGGCTGCCCTTGGGCCACAACAACCCCCAGCAGCGCTACAGGCTTGGGCAGGAGTGGCTGGAGAGCTGCCAGTCAGAGAGGGACCTGGGGGTGTGACTGACAACCAGCTGAACAGGAGCCAGCAGCGTGCCCAGGTGGCCAAGGAGGCCAATGGCATCCTGGCTTGTGTCAGCAATAGCGTGGCCAGCAGGGACAGGGAAGGGATCTGACCCCTGGACTCGGCTCTGGTGAGGCCGCCCCTCGATTCCTGTGTTCAGTTTTGGGCCCCTCACTACAAAAAGGACATTGAATGACTCGAGCGTGTCCAGAGAAGGGCAACGAAGCTGGTGCAGGGTCTGGAGCACAGGTCGTATGAGGAGTGGCTGAGGGAACTGGGGGTGTTTAGTCTGGAGAAAAGATGGTCAGCAGAGGCCTCATCGCCCTCTACAACTACCTGAAAGGAAGTTGTAGTGAGGTTGGTGTCGGTCTCTTCTCCAATGTAAGAAGCAATAGGACAAGAGGGAATGGCCTCAAGTTGCGCCAGAGAAGGTTTAGACTGGATATCAGGAAGTATTTCTTTACTGAACAGGTTGTTAGGTGTTAGAATGGGCTGCCCAGGGCAGTGGTGGAGTCCCCATCCCTGAAGGTGTTTAAGAGTTGGGTTGACACAGTGCTGAGGGATATGGTGTAGTTGGGAACTGTCAAGTGTTAGGTTAATGTTTGGACTAGATGATCTTCAAGGTATTTTCCAACCGAGATGATTCAGTGATACAGATAAATATGGGCTAAGGCAGGAAAACATCAAAGCAGCAGTTAGAGCATACTGCACACTAACAAGCCCAGATAGATTAGACTTATTTTAGTAAGTCTCCAGCTGATCTTAACTGCTCCACAACAGAAGCTCTAGAGTAATCCCTCAGTTATATTAGTCTCAAGATGAATAAATTGTGCACATTTATGACAGTTATATTTTGTTCATCAGAAGTATTACCACTTGATTTTTGTCAACTAGTTTAACAAATATTTTTAAAAAAATAAAGCTGTTCTGGAGTTGTCATAACCACATCTAACACTGTTTTTTTTGAAGAGAGATACCAGCTTTTACTCTTTAAAAAAATGATAGTTTATTTCCAATCCTGGAAATTATAGCCGTTTTATCAATCAAATGCTTTATATAATGTCTCCATGTGTTAATTACAATACACGAAGCTTTAAATTACTCCTAAAGTCCTCTCACTGAAAAAGAGCAAGCACATAAACCCCCCAAACCACATCCTAGTACATACCTTTATTCTATGAAATCGAACAATATCTCCAACTTTGTAAATTTTTGGTAGGGAATCTACATTACCACTAAAAAGTGTGCATGTTAACTTCACATTTGATGGGTCCACAAGTGTTACAACTGAGCAATAATCTGCAAAATATAAAAATGTTTGAATAAATAATAGACATTATGAATTAATACACAGATACTAAACAGGATGAACAACCCTATGGCCAATTTTTTTCTGCTATTATCTTCCAAAGTCAACTTAGTTAAAGTAGCATAACAACTGAAGTGTGGCCCATCTTACCAATAATTAGCCGAAATAACTGAAAATGAAATTGATAATTAAGCACAGGTCTGTGAGCTAGGAACACACAAAACTTTTTCTTCTGTCTGCAACAGGCATGCTATTTTTTCAAGTTTAATCCATAAAACGAGGAGCCTATGTACCATCTTGTACAATCCTTTCCTAAGATGTAGTTTTGTACTGTTTTCTGAAGAGGTAATGAGTTCTACAAATTCTAAAAGCAAATTAAAGCATAAATTACTTATCTTTCACTTCAATAAAATATGCAAGATATACACCACAAAGATACAGTCACACAGTGATAGAAAGTATAGTAAGAACCTGACATGTGCCCTTTAGAAGTGAAATATCGTTAACAGAATTTCATTTCTATTAATGACCTAAAAACTCAAAACGAGATACAAATATGACAGAGCAAAAGAGCCCAGAATAGAGCAGCATTTGCAGATGACAATTTAAACTTGTATTTTCCATTTCAGATTAGAGAAGCATGTGTGCTCAGCTATCTTATAAACATAAAACGGAGTGAGAGTACACTTGCTCTTTCACAGCATGGTAGCTAGTTAACTTTCCTGAGAACTTTTCAAATACCCAATATCAACTTGGCTGTGTGCTTAGAACCTGAAGCATCCACGTATCTTGTCCTAGTTGCTTTTAATCAAGAAGACAGAGTGCTTTTGTTTTAAATACTTATTGTGCTTGCATTTACTGAACCTTAAAAGTTTGGGTCTGAATTAAAACCTTTTCAGCAGATCAGTAGATCAATGACATCATAAACTATTATTTTCACCTTGATGACAACCTTGATACATTTACATACACAAAATATTTTGGTTTTTAGAAAGAGTTACCAAGATCCTCAAGCAAAAAGCACAATTTTTAGGCATTAACAGTACTCAATGATTTACAATTTAAAATTTCTAAAGTTTGAACTCTTGCAATGGTGAACTCTCCATTAGTTTTCCATTTGAGCATATAATTCTTACATGTCCAAATGAGAAAGCACAAAACCAGCAAGAGTGGTGAAAATTTTAAATAATTTCATACTTTTCCACACTGGTATAACACTGATTTACTATTTCTTAGCATTTTTCTGTACTCTGAAAAGAGTGGATATATCTAAACCATTTGCAGCACGCACATTACTTTCATACTGGAATCATGAATGAAATGATTCTGCTATTATTCATTCTGACTAAAAAAGTATAAATCACTACATCTGAATTACCCAGAATGCTTGGACAACTCTCTAATTTTCTAATGCCATACACTTTAACTCATATTTTTGTTTCATAATCCTATTCTAAGAATGTAAGCTTTCATTGTAGAAGTCAGCTTATTCATCCTGCTGACCTGCATATCAAATGCAGACATACCATCCAGAAGCAGGAACAATTATTCTATGTACAGAACCCATTTACTCCTGCCATAATCTTACTATTGTGCACCCACATTTAAACTAAATGTTCTTTGACAATTTTAGTTACATTTTGGTAACAGCCAACAACAGAATCTCAACACTGTAAAAAGACAGTAGTTGTGACTCTTAAAAACAGGCTTGCATGAAAACCTACATCCATTCTCCTGAGGCACCAAGAATCGGAACACTGTTCAAGATATAAAACTCTCTAAACAAAGTAACACACAAAGACATGACCATAGTTCAGCAGACATCAAGTCAACAGTAAAGAGGCAAAATTAACAAACAATTATTAAACCCGTTTATGAATTCTGTTGCTTGAACAAACTACAGAAAGAACCTGAAATTTCAAACCATTGACCAGGAAATTCTTGCTTGACAGTGTAAGCTTTCTCAACTTCTATAGTGGTGAAATTAAATACTGGAAGACTGTAAATGCAGTTCAAGGTCAAAGTGACTGTGGCTTGTAAGTCCATGCCACAGCAGATACACCCACAGAAGACTGAGGCCATGGAGAAACCCACATTGGAGAAGAGAACGCCGCTAAGAAAGAAGGTACAGTGGGGAGAAAGGGAAGAAGAAGAAAAAAAAAAAAAAAGGGGTAAGGAACACTCCCACCAAAGGCACAAGGTCAAGCGTCATACAGTGCCTATTCTGACATTCTGTGCTAGGATAAGCAGACATGACTAAAGCCTAGTCAGTGGCTGACAGAACTGCAAGTATTTACTATCGTAATCCAAAACCTGATTGTTTTATTTCTTTGGGTATGAATTCTAGAAGTTAACAGCTCAGCTGCAAAGCGATCTGAGCAAAATGAGCAATTAAGAAGAAAAAAGCCATATGTTTCATGGATTTACAATCCTGTAAGGATACAGGATAACATTGCAGTGCACTGATATAATCCAGCATATAAATCAAGAGTGAAACAACAAAAACATTCCACATTAAAATTGTGGTTACTCTTTGATGCTGTGATTACATAACCTAGTCAGCTTCATACATGTGCAGCTGCCTATTTAAGTTAAAAAAGTTAACATACACCCTCCATTTTCTGTGCAATGAACATACTCAAGACTAATAATCACCCTACTCAAAGTAGTATAAAATATACTTGCTTTATAGAGTCAGGGAACATTACAAAATATAGGTTCTCTGGCTGTGATTTTAGACTTCCATTCTTAACTATCACCTCAAAACACCACTTCTACAATAAACCTAATTAAAATACAGCTCTTCAAGAACAAAGCATAAAGAATGCTTTTCTTTCAAAGAAATCCTCATCCAGTGTCGTAACTTAACCCACCCTGGCAGCCAAACACCACACAGACACCCCCATGGAATAGAGGAATAGAGTTGGAGGGGTAAGGACACTCATAAATTGAGAGAAAAAAAAATTGAAATAAAATTAAATTAATATTGATAATAATAGAAAATACAAAACAGGCAACGCACAATGTTACTGCTCACCACACGCTGACCAATGCCCAGCCCGTTCCTGGCTAGTGATTCCAGAGAAGAAAGAATCCTGAAAGCACAATCCCAGAAGCCAGAGCGATCTCCTTGATCAACCCTTATCTATATACTGAGCATATCTTTACATGATATGGAATATTCCATTTGCCAGTTTGGGTATGTTGCTCTGGCTCTGCTCCCTCCCAGCTTCTTGTGTACATGCACACTAGCAGGACATGTGAAGTTGAAAAGTCCTTGATTTCTTAGCAACAACTAAAAACATCAGTACATTATCATCATTCTTCTTGTACCAAATCCCACACTGATTCCAAACACAGCACTACTCTAGCCACTAAGAAAGAAAGAAAAAAAAAAAAAAAAAAAAACAGGACATCCAGCAGGTCCTTTCTGAAGGTTAAAAACAAAAAGCCACCTGTCTTTCCTTCACCAGCTGGAATGTGAAAATTGCTTTCTGCTTTCCACAGCAGCATTACAGTTCAGTGACTGAATTCACTTTTCTGCACAAATGAGTCAACTCTAAAGAGTATTGCTGAATTATAAGAAACAATACAATAAATGTCATTGTTCAAACTTTTGATTTTTCACAATGTACTTTCCAATGAAACAAAATCCCTTGGTTACCAAGCTGGGTAAAAAAAATAAGAAAGTTTACATACTTGAATCAATTTTCCTTTACTAGATAAATTTACACCACTGATGAACTTTCCTTGAAGAAGGGAAATTTTACCACTGGTAATTTTAACTTGTAACAATCTGTCTTAAAAATACAACACAATGGATGCACAGTTCAGCAAATTTATATACTACAAAAGAAAGTTTTAACTTTCATACTAAATTGGCTCAGTAAAAGCATTGTTTTTAGGCTGACACTACACAGAACTCCAAATCACACCTATGTTTTTTTAACACACTTAATTAAGAGGTATTCCCACTCAGACTTAACAGCACATGAGGGGACCACCAGCAATGGTCAGCTCTCTGTAGGGATGCTTGTAACACCTCAGAATTGGTGTTTATGAAAACAAGAAGAGAGAAGTGACATTTGGTTTAAATGGAAGTACTGAGTGATTCATCTGTCTTACATGCTTCTTATATCCTTTCAGACTAGTTCTTACTGTTCTTTAAATACAATTACTTGTTACTTAGTTTTTTGTTTCATCTCATAAAACAGCCACAACAATGGGGTGAAGCAGGAACAAAAGGAATTCATAATTATTGCAACGACTACCTTAAAAATCAATGAAATTCCAAGTCAAGATCAACAGGTCACATTAACTACATAGAGAACGCTGATCTCCAAGCTTCTAGGTCCCTATTTTAAACAGTCTGAAATATGGAAGTTTTGTAGCCCTGTAACAGTCATTGAAAAGAATCTCCACTGTGATGACAGGTCATGTTCATTCTTCAGGTTACAGCTTTCTTTTTATAAATGCTTTAGCGTTTCCATGATTCTATGGACTGTTAACATCAGTCATTAGCATACTCAGGAAGCATCTCTCCACAGTGTACAGATATATTAAAAAACCCCCAACCCACCAAATTACAAAACCTCAAAACCACAAGCTTCACTTACAAATTTCTTTTTTAGTCATGATAAGAAAACCAGAAAGCTTTCTACAAAAGCTTTCCAGATTAGTAGTTACTGATGTTGTAGGAAGACATGTAGTACTTACTGATTAAACATTTGTTTTAGTTTTACTGAGGACTTCAGCAGTTCTTATCAAATAGGCTTGTATAAATTTTTAAGGTATAAAGCATCAATCTAATTATGAATCCATTTTTGGGCAATCACGTATGTAATTCCTGACTAACATTTAAGTTGAAAATCCACTATACTGAATCAATAACTTCCCCACGCAAAGAGATAAAAATATTTTTGGCAACGTTGTTGGCAATGAGGCACTTGATATAGACTGCCTTCTGTTTCTTCTATTTCAATACACACAC